CCATAAAGAGAAGAGAAAGCCGCATAAGGATAAGAAGCAGTATCTTCCAGGACTATTGTCTGACTCCAATCTGGTTCTGCCTCTCTTTGAACTCTCTTAGTACTTTACTGGAGGGCTCCAAGAGAGGATTTCAGCTTCGGAAAGGAGAAACAAAAGTTACTCAACTTTTCTATATGAATAACCTCAAGTTATTCACAAGAATTGCTAAACATTACTTGTGATTTTAGCAAATCTATTAGAATGGAGCTGGCAATGGATAAGTGTACGGTCCTCCATGTAGAAAGGAGAAGGGTTGCTGGCTCTGAGGGCATAGATTTATCTATGTCCGTCAACTTAAAGACCCTTTTCGAGGCTGAAACATATCGATATTTGGGTATGTCACAGAACATCGGTATCGATGAGGCTAGTATGAACTAGTATGACGTGTTTTTTGACTTAACCAAAGTGCTTAACAGACTTTTGTTCGGTGTGAATAAGACACACGCATATAACGGTTGGGTCATGCCTGTCCTCATGTATACCTTTGGCATACTCAAGTGCTCTCAGACTGAACTTAACGCCCTGGATGGAAAAGTCCGCACTACCATGATTTCCCATAGAGTGCATCATCCGAGATCGTCATTAATGAGGCTGTACTTGCCGCAAAAGCATGGTGGGCTTTTTAAGCGCGCTTACCATGCATAATCGCGAAGTGTGCAGCCTCCTTAGTTATTTCCTGGCGAAATCAGACGATCCATTCTATAGGGATGTTATTTTTTGTGATAATGGACTTACCCCCCTATCCTTAGCTAACTAGCAGTGGCGGGGAGATGGGGAGACCATATGAAGAGGAAGAAATTCCACAGGAGGTTCTACAAAGCTCTTTATGAGCCTTTCGTAGACACTGTAGCCTCCCTCCATTGGCTGCGTTTTGGTGACCTCTTCAGGAAAATCGAGGGTTTTGTCTTTGCAATACAGGATCAGGTTATTAAGACCAACAACTATCGGAGATACAACCGTGCTCAGGCACAACCTAGTAGCTAGAATTCTGCAACAGGAGCTCGCTTTAGAATAAGGTGGACCGCAAATTGCCGTATTACAAGTATTTTCCGGAAGTCATGCTCGAAGATGATCGTGCCAGGCTCTACTGCGATCGGGCCATCATCACAGACAGGACTATTCTTGCGAATAAGCCTGATATTGTGCTGATGGACCGGGCACAGTCAAGGATATTTTTGGTCGACATTACCGTTCCGTATGACGAGAACCTCGTGAAAGCCGAATCAGATAAGCAAACAAAATATCTGGACCTGGCTCACGAGGTGACCGACACGTGGGGTGGTCTGCTGACCGAAATTATTCCTGTAGTCGTTTCTGCAAGCAGGCTAATCCCAGTCAGCCTCTCGGGTCATCCAAGGCGGCCGGGACTCTGTAACGGACCGCTCCGGGCTCAAATGCAGAAGGTGGTGCTCCTTGATACCGCCCGCATCGTCTGACGGTTTCTTTCTCTTTTCCCCTAGCCCTCGGCCGTATGGTCTCCCGTGCCGTAGGCTTCCATCTGGTTGGGCTTTTACTTACTTTTGTATTATTTATTTATTTATTCATTTTTGTACACCACAATACAGAAACATCAAGTACAGTTAAAACTAAATTAAAGTATGTACAATAGGCGGTCTTATCACTCTGAAAGTGATTTCTTCCAGACAACCTTTGCGTAGAGGAATGATGCAAACAAAAGTTAAAATAGAGGGGGGCATACAAAATAAGAATAAAAATTATAATAATACATACAAATAAAAATAAGTGTAATATCATATAATAGATTAAATGAAAAGAGTACGAGAAAGGTAAAGTAATTTATATAATAGCGTTCTAAATAATACGGTTTAACAAGAATTTTGAAAGAGTGAAGAGATTTAGCACGACGAATATGGAGAGGTAAGGAGTTCCACAATCACACAGCAGTTACGGTGAAGGATTTCTTGAAAAAGGAAGAAGAGTGCAAAGGTGTAGAGAGAGAAAGATTGACGGAGGATCGAAGGAACCGATTATGGGTAAGAGAAAGATACTGGAAACGGTTTTTAAATAAAGCGGAGTGGAAGGATTAAACAGCACGCTTATACAACGCGGAGAGAATGTGATTATTCCTGCGAAGGCGGATCGGGAGCCATTTGAGCTGTTTGCGAAATTCGGAGATATGATCATATTTGCAAATACATTATTTATTTATTTATGTAAGTATATTCATCATATATTTATGTATATTTATCATTTCCTTTTATATATTTATTCAGCCCAACCAGATGAGAATACTCTTATAATACCCCCTAATAATGTCCTCCATACCGAATTTCGGCCACGGCGGCCAGTCTCAACGTAGACTATCCATCGGCGCAGGACAGGAATATGGTGCCCAAGTGTATGCGTAAGCACAAGTGCACTCTCTATTCCCTTATTCTCATAATCCGATGGGGCGGTAAACCGACACGACCAAAGAGAGATCAGGCGCAAGTCTTTACGTGCTTTGCGAGGCACGAGCGTGAGAAACCGCTAAATTCCTGACGCCGGGCAACTACTGAGAATTCCTCGACGGAAAAACTCAATAATTTAAGTTTTGGTCCGACCCGGGAATCGAAACTAGGACTTCATGATTAGCAGTCACACTACTACAACCACTAGACCAACGAGGTAGTTTATATATAATGGTAAATATAAAATATTAATTAAATTTACTGTATTTATGTATTATATATAAATGTAATGTTGGATGTGCAGCTTGTGGAATCGCGAGAGAATCGATCCTTCATCGTATCACAAACCCATAAACATCGACTCTAGAAAAGCTGTCACTAGTAAACATCTAAATTTATGTAGGTGTCTACAGGCCCTAGAATCTACTTACCACCACCTTTTGTCACCTTCATTCCTTTAAAAAAGTATATTAAACGAAACAGTTTTTTACAAAAATATAATTGGCACATGTTTTAGGAAGCCTGCGTGCGTTGACAGAAACGTTAACTTAAGAGTATTTTGTTTCTCTGCATTTATGTTCACAGTCGTAAAATTAAAATAGCAGTTTATTTTGGAGTCATTTTGTATAATAAGTTAACGTTTTTTTCATTGTGTCGAGGTAAATTCTGGCAATCGTACAATTTACTTCTCCGTTTTTTGCCTTCACATTTTCAATTAAGTACTGGATTTGCCTTGGAATTTAAAAAAAAATTCTTTGTACAGAAATTAGTAAATTATATCCTTATATTATTATAATACTTATAGAGAAGAAGGTAAGGAGAAGACATGCTATGCTGACTCTAAATAACTTGGAAAAAGGGCAGGAAGAAGCCGTATTGAGAAGGCCGGTAATCCCACACCGACACCTTCGCACTCGTGATGGCTCTACCCATCATCAGTCTTTTGGATTGTCGGTCGCCTAAAAAAACGCCAGCGGTTAAATTTTCATTATCCCATAAAAGTCCATGAACATAGAATTCCTTTTGTACCTTATAAGTGTAACTACGCTGGATTTATGTTTATTACCTACCACGTTTTAATTAACTTAGTTTCGTGTCGAGGTTAGAGTCAAATTTAGTAATTGATTTTTAAAGTGATTTGCCGATGAGCTAGACTTGAAATTTTGAACATAGTTCAGAATCAGATGACAATGTATAAGATTTTTTAAATTCTTTTATTTTTAGAGTAGTATAGCCATGTGTACTACAGCAATATTGAGGTTGTAGTACAAATAGATTAGCTCGTAAGGGAAAAGACCACGCTTTCACAGAATATCAACAGCGTAGAATAGCTACTTAATGTTGCTATTTGTCGTTTAGTGAGCGTAGAGAATCGGTAACGTTTTTTACTGGTAGTGGCATTCAATCTTAGTTCTCAGGGATGACAATACATTTACTAGGAAAGATGTAAGTATCTATGTCCACACGCTTACCTATGGGACATTCGAACTACTACTACTAACAGTCAGTCATTGAAGGGGCCTAGACGGGGGCCGTTAGGCTCGATTTACATTTTGAGAAGTGACAAGTGCGAGTGGCAAGTGCAACTGACAAATGATAAGTGCTTAGCATGTGAACAGGCAGTGCCAAGTGATAAGTGTGAATCAAATTCGTACTAAGCACTTGTCGTTTGTCAGTTGCACTTGCTACTCGCACTTGTCACTTCTCAAAATGTAAACCGGGCTTTAGTAGCTGTTTAGGGTTGTCTTTTCACGCAAATAAATTGAATTGATTTACATTACATGCGCGGCAAAAGACTGTGGGTTGTCCTTATTTGAAGACAAGGAATCAGTTTTCATATACACAGGAACTTGTTAAAAAGTAAAATAAAATAAAATCAGTTTTTTATTTTATTATTACTTCCCGTTGTGACAACCTTAGTAATTTATTTTTTATGTTGGCTTTTCCGACAGCATAAAACGCAATGATAGACTATATGTTTTTCTTAGGCTATGCTTATGTTTTTTATCCTATAAATATAATGAATACATAAGGGAAAGTACACCGTTGAAATGTGCGCACTATGTAACTGCTTCGAGCTTGTGCTATATAAAAGCTAGACGTTTTGCAGCAACGGCGCGGCGCCCTACATATAAAAATTCGTTCTGTGACACACGATGAGTTGCAATCCCGTACGGTGGTCAATTTTACCCATTTTTGGCTAGGAGTCTGTTTGGTTAGGTGTTTTCCCTGCTGTACATATGAGCTATTCGTTCTTGGAGGTGACAACGCATCTATAGGTCTAAATCCTTCTTTGTTTGAAGTTCTACATGTGTCCATCGACTGCAGAAGCCACTTACCGTCAGGTGGACGGTGACATTTGTCACTTCATTTTATTAAAAAAATTACTCGGTTACCTACTGGCTAGAACCAACCACCAAAAGTCCTATTAGGTCTAAATTCATATTTCTTGATCAGATAAAACTTAACTTAAATTGGACATAAGAAATTTGTGTTATATACCCCCACTTTTGATAAATCCACCATCAAAATGTAATAAAGTATACACACCTCGGTCCTGCTTTGGTATACAAGGCGATGACTCTTGACACTTCGTAACACATTTCTTGTGACAGCATAATCCACAGTTTCTACATTGCATGGCATCTTTTAACCATATCTGCGAGAGTAAAATCGTATGTATTAGTAAGTATATTTATTTATTTCTATATATAAAAATCTATTACTGTCCGTTAGTCTTGCTAAAACTCAAAAACGGCTGGACCGATTTTAAGAAATTTTTTGTGTGTTTGATTAGGTCCCTAGATGGTTTAGATTCACATTTGCACCCGGTAGCGCTGTTGTTTGTTGTTGCACCCCTGCGAAGACGGGCGGGCGCTAGTATTTAATGATTGTCAATCTGCTTAACAAAATTTATTTATATTTAATGTATGTAATCAAGTTATATTTGGGCTAAAATTCAAACTCATTAGGGAGATAAAGAAAAATAAATAAGTTTGTAATTTAAGAGTTTGTCGCAAGATATCTGCCTCAATAATTTCACGTGCTGCATCTTAATGTTACAATCTCTCGGTGGATCGGGAGTACAGTTCTTAAGGTGCTTTGTTCAGGCTTCTCCACAAAATCACGCATCATTTTGCTGTTTTTCTAGGTAATGCTCATGTTCATAATCATTGCAGACTCATTTATGATCATTACAGCCTATGAAATGTTCACTGCTGAAAATAGGCCTTTATAATAGATTGCTCTTTAGGGAACCAGAACAGACTTGGCGGGTTGGTAACAACTCTAGTTTTTTATTATTTTGTGCTACAAACGTAACTTGCCTTTTTATTACAGAAATCGCACTGCGTCGATCTATGGAAGTGCGTGCGCACGAAGTCGTGGGCTGCACGTGCTGGTTTATGCGGACGGGGGGGAGTTACACCGCGTGGTGCGGAGCGTGGCGTCGTACGAGCGTCACCAGCTCCTTCCCACTCCCACCACACGAGAGCGTCGCCAAAGCACAGGCATGGCTCGAAGCCGGCATGCGAAGCAAGTTTGTGGCTTTTGCTGAATAACAAATATAAAAAACCATCCGTCAATCCACTACTCAAGAGAATTAGTGTTTTTAATTGAATAAACGAGCACACACCTACATCCATCCTTGATTAAGAATCAAAAAGCAGGTGTGTCTAAAATAGAATATATCGTTTTCAGTTAAAACTGTATCCTGTTCTCTACACTCACCGTACGAAACACAGCAGCATTAAGCTGCTATTTTGTAATGGTATTTTGTAAGAGCGTGGTCCATTCCTGATCAAGCCAACCCATTCGTGCTACAACCATAATATAGCTGCAGTAGGTCTCTACTACGTATAAGTATAAATCGATGACACAAAAATATGTGCAACGTGAGTGCAAAATTATTTTTTTATTTACCTAGAAATGTTCAAAAATTGATTTGCAGTCATAGTATTAGTTTTTAGAATATTTTTTATATTTCCATTTTATACTCATGAACTCAAGATAAATATGGCAGTATCTCAAATGTTCATACCTGAATTTAATGTCCACATCAGGCGGTAGGAATTGATACCTCTTCATATGATGTGGCACTGTTGAATCTTGGCATTCCGATAATAAAGCTGCCAGTGGTATATTCAGATACCCCAATAATACTTCTTCCTTTTCACCGGGTACAGTCGCCCAAACATTAATGTTTAAATATTTGTGATTCTCGTTCAATTTAAAATCAGTCTCTTCGTCGAAGGGTATAATAGGTTTAAGTTGAACGCTTTTAGTCCAAAACATTTGGCATATCTCGACATGTTCACTCTGTCGCGGTCCACCCGTCTCGAATATTTGTTCTTCTTCGTCAAGTATGCTGTCAGTTTTTTCTGATTTGCATTCGGAGGAATCAGTTTTAATTATAGGTATATCAGGATGTTTGACGATTTTGTTGACGACAGTGGCTTGTCTGAGGGGTGTACTGGCTCCTGAAGCGGGCGGAGTACTACCAGTGGAGCTGTCGGAAGACTTGTTTTCCACAGAACATCTTCGTTTTCGTAAACCATAGTTGCCTGGACCGGGTTGTTCAGAAGTTTTAGTGACTTGTCGTGATGCTTCACCCTTTTGCTTTGGTTCCGTTTCGTTTTGCAGCTCTGATACCTTCACAGGAGAATCAGTTTCCTAAAACACAAAATTTCTACATCCAAATATTGTTACAATATAAAAATTTTAATTTAGAATAATAAAGAAGAAACTTATGTTCAACAGTTAATGTTTTTATAATATTTATGTTGTTATAAAGTTCACCAATGGCATAAATGAATACATACATACATACATACATACCATTAAGTTATTTCTAGAAGCAGCTGCACGCATACTTTGGAGCCGTACCCCTTCCATAACTTCAGAAACTCGACGGAAGGAGAAATTTGTGCGCAGCCGACGAGGCTCGTCCTCCCTCCGAATTCCACCCGTTCCCGCCCCGGTTCCTCCTGTTCCACCACGACGTACTCTCACCGTCACTGCACGTCGTTCCACACTACGAAGCAACTTGCCCACCTAGAAGAAAATGTAAGATAGTTTTAAAAAGGTAAAAAAGAGTGAGGCTTAGAAAACATCTAGTGGAAACTCAGTGAAGAGCATGCGATTGGGCTAGGCGTTGGACATACATACACGCGCGAATACGTACTGTTATATTATATATATATATATATATATATATATATATATATATATATATATATATATAGGCTTGGTTCGGCCTCACATGGAATACTGTTCCCATCTCTGGGCGGGGGCTCCACAGTGCCAGCTCCTTCCACTTGACTGCATCTAGCGCAGAGCAGCTCGAATCGTCGACTACCGAATGCTTTCCGATCGGCTCGATTCACTGCCGCTGCGAAGAGATGTTATATCTCTTTGCATTTTCTCTCGCATCTACCACGGGGAGTGCTCTGAGGAATTGTTCGGATTAATTCCAGCCGCCAAATTTCATGAACACACTACGTAGCAAACATCCCGATACCATCCACACTATCTGGATGCTTGGCGGTCCACTACTGTACGTTTCACTAGGAGTTTTCTTCCGCGTATGACCTCTCTGTGGAATAGTTTACCACCGGCGATTTTTCCGGACCGATACGATTTAGGGACCTTAAAGAAAAGAGCTTACTCCTTTCTAAAAGGCCGGCAACGTATCTGCGATTTCCCTGGTGTTGCAGTCGTTCATGGGCGGCGGTAGTCACTTAAAATCAAGTGAACCGTATGCTCGTTTGCCCCCTTTCCTTTAAAAAAAGATGGTGCTCTAACCACCTCGCTTACGTCAGATGCTCAGATCGATGACGGACAGCAGCGTCGAAGATGCGAGGCGTCTATTACTGCGATCGTCCATGCACCTGACACGCGTGAATTAAGGCAAATCTACCCTAAAACGGGAGAGATATATGTTCAGCAGTGAAACTTGCCGATGAAGAAGAGTATCGCGTTTGGTATACATTTTAAGTTGCCGCCACTCAGGAGTCAGTACAATGAAATAGAGTACCGTGTGTTTCGTGCATGCTGAACTCCACACCTCGCTGTACGATTTTCACTGAGACCTTAATAAAGCAATATAGATTTTTCCTATTCTTCACCGTGTAGTGGCGGTGTAAAAATATCCACTAACCCATTTCGTTCCATGAGTGTCGTGAGAGGCGACAGAGAGAAACTGAAACAGGAGACAGTTTATACGGTTGGCTCGACCGGGGAAGGACCACGCACTCACAGAATATCAGCGTAAAATAGCAGCTTAATCCTGCTGTGTTTCGTATGGTGAGTGTAGAGAACCGAAGACCCGTTTTAGTGGAATCGAGGCATTCCATCTTAGTTCTCAAAGGTCGCATGCAAGCATCTCCATTTTGATTCTTAAGAGGATAAATGTAAATGTCTATGGGCCACAGCATCCATTTACCATTAGGTGGACTGTGCGCTCGTTTGTCACCCTTATTCTATTAAAAAAATTCAGCTCAGTTCAGGACTAACTCAGTTTAGTGCCAGCGCTTTAGTAGAATCCTAGTTATAAAAGTAATCGGTCAATTTAACCATCGGCAGTGACGTAAATTGTTTATAAGTTTAACTTAAGTAATTAATTAACGTTAGTATTAAGTGAATAACTTAATTAACGTTGGTATAATTTTTACATAAAAAATATTTTGTAAGATTTCGACGAAATCAGATTTGCCCACACTTTACACTTTAAGCACGACACAAAAAAACAAATTTCAGCATTCAGTTTTTTTACACAAGAGCAAATGAGCTAATTATTTCGTAACTAGTACGAATATTCAAAGAAGAAGAAAGAAATTATTTCTTTCTTTACGTTTCTATTATTAAACAAGTCTTAGTTGCTGAAAAAAGCTAAAACTAAAGCTTACCTGTGCGACGTTATTGATAGGTTTGTTGTCAATAGCGAGCACGACATCGTCGCGACGGAGATCAGCCCGGTAAGCAGGTGACATCGGCACCACAGTATCCACCAGCACCACACCCACACCTTGACAGCATACCAGACCCAATGGGCCCGTTACCGCCGGTAGAACTATGTCTAGGACGAGAACTCCTCGGCGTAGGGATACCTAGAATATATTCAGATATAGAGGGTCCTCCAAGCAAATCTTCACCATGCAGCAGCTGCTTCTGCCGTGGTGGAGGTTTGTTTTGCAGAGGACAACATTGACCTCGCCCTTATACAAGATTCTTGGTTGGCCAACGGTCAAGTTCTGGGATTGGCGGCTGCCGGTAAGATTCTCGTCAATACCAAAGGCAGTAGACTCAGAGCTTGTATAATTTATAATAAAAATATTGAACTTTTAGCTGTTTCAGAGTACTGCAATGATGACCTGGTTACAGCCTTCATAAATCTCAAGGGATGCACAGGGGCCAGAGTAATCATTTGCTCAGCCTATCTTCCCGGCGAGAACGCAGACCCTACCATCGAGTTGAAGCGAGTGGCGGAGTTCGCCAGAAAACACAATGCCGAACTTGTGGTGGGTTGAGATGCTAATGCTCACGACACAGCCTGGGGAAGCACCAGCATCAACGAAAGAGGTGAGTTACTTTATGATTTTCTCATCTCCAACCGCCTGGTAAGCCTAAACTTAGGTTGTACACCAACCTTTGTAACGCGTGCTAGGTAAGAAGTGTTAGACATAACCTTTGCTACCAATAACATGTCCAGGTGGATAAATGACTGGCATGTTAGTATCGAAAACTCGATGTCTGATCACAAGTACATTAAGTTTGTGATTGGAGCATCACCAACCTTTGAAACCGTTACTTTTAGGGATCCGAAAGCGACCTCCTGGGATATCTACAGAGATAGCCTAAGGAGGAATTTGCAAACGTTTCCTAAAAGCATCAAAACAATTGAAGGTCTGGAGTTAGCGACGGAGACAGTAACCGTAGGTATCCGTGAAGCCTTCGAGGACAGTTGTCCCGTCAAAACCAAGACCTCAACACGAAAAGTTTCTTGGTGGAATTCTAAGCTGAAAGAACTTAGGGAAAAGACCAGGAAACTATTTAATAGGCCTAAGAAAACCAAAGAGTGGGATATTTATAGTGCAGCCCTAACTGAATATAATAAAGAAATCAGGAAAGCCAAGAGAGCATCGTGGAAGAAGCTATGCGAGGAAGTTAAGTCTTTGCCTCGCAGTGCAAGACTCACAAGATGCTATCGAAAGCTAAACCTAATCAGATCGGGCTTCTTAAAAAGCCGGATGGTAACTTCACTAATAGTGAAACAGAAACATTGGAGTTACTAGCGTCAACCCATTTCCCAGGGTCATACAAGACTTCAGCCTTGAACTCTTTCAGAGCCCTACGAAGGCCTTGCAATGAGGACTGGCGTAGGGCTGCAAAGATAATAAGGCCAAACTTGCAATGAGGACTGGGTAGGGCTGCAAAGATAATAAGGCGAAACCTGGTGCAGTGGGCTGTTGACTCCCTTGAACCATTTAAATCAAGCGGATGATGTGAAAGATGGAATAATTCCCATCCAACTACAGAGGGGTATCGACATCCTTCTTCCTTATTTAGTGAAAATCTTCAGAGCAAGTTTTGCATGGAGATATATTCCAGAACGATGGACAATTGTCAAGGTTCTATTTATACCTAAGGCTGGTAGAAAGGACTACGCTTTACCAAAGTCCTTTAGACCTATAAGCCTATCTTCCTTTCTTCTTAAGACATTGGAAAAGGTTATAGATAGATATATAAGGGACGTAGCTCTAGTTACGAGGCCCATACATTACAACCAGCATGCTTACCGCAGAGGCAAATCTACGGAAACAGCACTGATCAGTGTCATTGACAGGGTCGAAAAAGCACTGGAGCATAAAGAAATAGCTCTTTGTGCCTTTCTAGATATCGAGGGCGCCTTCGACAGTAGCCCCACATCACTGCTGATTGGGGGCCTAACATCTAAATATGTTGACCCCACAACCATCAGATGGGTGAAGTCGATGCTCTCAAACAAAAAGGCAAAAATAGTGCTGTTCCAAACTTCGATTGAGGTTGCAACCACAAGAGGCTGCCCACAAGGAGGTGTTTTGTCACCTCTTCTTTGGACTCTTGCGGTTGACCAACTATTGTACAAAATGGCAGATCTACGCATTGACACATTGGGTTATGCTGATGACCTTGTGATCATTGCGAGGGGCTTTTGCCAAAGTACTTTATCGTCAATAATACAAAGAGCCCTAAATACCATAAATAACTGGTGTAGGGATAACAGTTTATCAGTTAATGCTGATAAAACTGTTATAATACCCCTTACCAAAAAGAGACGGTTGGACAAATTAGTCCAACCAAAACTTAATGGCAAAGAAGTACCATTTTCCGCGGAAGTTAAGCACTTGGGACGTATCAATCGACCAAAAACTAACGTGGATCTCTCACCTTAGCAACATATGCCATAAGGAAAAAATTGCTTTAGGTTCGTGCAGTCGTTTGGTCGGGAACAACTAGGGCTCGCGTCTCAGTATGGTCCTATGGCTATACAGCAGCATAGTGAGGCCGATTCTCACGTACACCTCTATTGTCTGGTGTAACAAAGCCAACCAAAAGACGACTGCGGACAGACTAAACAGTCTACAAAGGACTGCCTGCTTAATTGCAACTGGAGCTATGCGATCATTGCCTGGAGCGGCTCTTAATGCACTTCTATGCCTAAAGCCTCTTGATATCTATCTAGATAATGAGGCGAGGGCTAGTTTGTATAGGATTAACGCCCAAAACGATCTGAGCTTGCTCTCCTACAGATTGAGATCCATGCTTGACTCAATTAAGGAATCACCGGTCTTATGCATGATCTCAGATATCATGCGTCCACTACACACTTTTGTTAAAAAAGTATATAGTGGAATTACCCTCCAGAGAAGACTGGCTGAATGGCCAGGTTATCTGTGAGGTCGGTAACCTCATATGGTATACCGATGGGTCTAAAATGGGCCTCGACGTTGGTTTTGGAATTTACGGTGAACGCCCCAAATTTAAACTTAATATGAATTTGGGTAGATACTCTTCTATCTTTCAGGCAAAAATTTTCAATATACTTCGGTGTGCGGAAATCAATCTGCAAAAACACTACGTCAACCATAAAATTTACATAAACTCTGACAGTCAAGCAGCATTGTTAGCGCTGAGATCAAACTTAGTGAACTCAAAGCTAGTTGGAGACTGCGTGAACCGTTTAAACGCCCTGGGATGTAACTACGGGGTCGTTTTAAGATGGGTTCCGGATCACGAGGAATTTGCCAACAAACTTGCACGGGAGGGCTCAAAGTGCACACAATTTGGACCTGAGCCATTTTGTGGAATCTCAAGAAGCCTAGCCCGATTGACCCTTGAAACTCTTTATCACAATAAATCACTTAAGATCTGGTCTGACACACCAGCCTTAATACATTCTAAAACCTTAATCCGGGCTTTTGATCGTAAATTCGCTTCAGAAGCCCTGGGATTAAGTAAAAATAAATTGCGCATTCTGGCAAGAGCCCTAACTGGACATTGTTGTCTTAAAAAGCACATGTCCATCCTGGGACTAAGCAACTCAAGGATGTGTCGGTTCTGTTCCATAACGGAAGAAACGCCTCTACACATCCTAACCGATTGCGGACCCTTAATGCGCAAACTTAACACTCATCTGGGACACTATCTACTCCGCCCAGAAGAAGTGAAATTGCTCACGGCTAAGCAACTCCTTCGATTCATTGAAAACATAGGGCTTATCCGTGAACTATAGCCATAGCAGCGATCACAATAGATCTTTTAGTGATACTGATCTCTTTACCTAGAACTGCGTAGCTGCTCGCATATAATAAAAAACATATTCAGATATAGGATTAAGATAAAAACCGACAGCCAACGGGGAGGATAGGATGAAATGTGAGAAAATAATTTCATCTCTGTGGTAGCTCAAATGGATAATTCATTTCGGTTTTGAGTCATACATAAAAATGTAATAAGTGTCAAAGTATTCAGCCTCTAGAAGTATATTTAGTGACCAATATTTTATATATTATTTATTTATTAGATAAATTGACTTAAAACAGACAGATAGGGATGGTACAATTCTTAAAGCACGTCATAGATAACTCATACAAATGAATTTTTTCTAATCAAATCTAATCCAATAATTTAAACTCGTATTTCTATCTGTCTTTTAAAGAGTTTTCAATAAGTTTAAGTCTCATTGCGAACGAGATTGATGAGGTTTTATTTGATGGATAAAATATTTTATATTTATATTTGTATATACATAAAAGGCTATTTCACTCTTGTCTTGAAAATACCCATGCACATTGTATTCGGACAGAAAGGTTGCTGGCATTTTATTTCACTCGTTTAATGTCAATTCATCATTCGTAAAGCGTACTATACGCTTTACGAATGATGAAGCCAACCGAATGATTTATAATAATGTGTTCTAGATCTAATTTCGGTTACGGCGGCCACTCCTAACGACCATCTGCGAAGAGCAAGTACGAGCATGAGTGTGTGCAACCACAGGTATACTTTCTTTTCCGTACTCTCATAGTCTGATGGAACGGTAATCCGACACGACTGGAGAGAGATTAGGCGCAGGATCAACGGCTTTACATGCTTTCCAAGGCAGAGGGGTGAAACACTACCAACTGCCTGACTCCAAGCTGTTACTGAGAATTTCTTGCCAGACAAACCCATTATCTTGATTGATTTTCCGACTCGGTATACGAATCAAGTACCGTTTTAAAAAAAATATTACAAGGATTTAAGTTAAAAATGAGGTCAGTTATAGACTCCTGGTAAATTAACTACCATACGTAGCTAGTTTGCTATCTCTTTTTAATACTTTATAATTACATTAACGTTAAAAGAATGGTTGAAAGTTACCCATCCATGAGAATCCACGGCTAATGCAGCGCGAACTATACCGCTGCCGCCAGACCATTGCAAACGAGTAACCTCAACTAGCCGTACAGTTAGTCGCCCTTGTGGCGTTGGCCCATCCTCTCCTTCTGTGCTACCAGGTTCTGACTTAGGAAAGAATGGCTTATACCTGCAAACAAAAGCAAAGAGATCTGAGAGAAAGCTGTGAAGTGCTGGTACTTTTTCCTTTTTTGATCGGTGTTTTTTTGCGCACATGGCTACTGCAACATAATATGTGCCTAGGTTCGATTAGGTTGTAACCAAACCTTGTATAAAAACACAAAAAGTTTTCGGTTTAGATATATTCTAATAGTTCCCGTGTTTCTAATTCTGCATCCATATCTATCCTAAACGTACCCGTGACTGCATCAAAACTTCTTCCGATATTAACGCATAAGGATTAATCAGATAGGATAGTAGGCCTTTAGGTAAATCCATTCTACTGTGTAATGCTATACGTAGCAGTGCACTGTTTATAGAAGTAAGGGTGACAACAATCATACAATCCACCTGATGGTAGGTGAATGCTACCATCCATACATACCATTTATTAACAATAGGAATATAGGGCTGTGAAATTATACGCACTGTACGGTACTGGAGTCCCAAATGATCCATTTGAATGATCGATCCGAATGTACCGGTACGCGTGACGAAATGTACTAGAATGACTCGGTCACGAGAAATGAATGATTGACACATGTCTAGTAGTAGAATGCTTACCGTATCTTGTAATTAGGAAGCGTATGTCTTTGTGCCACCGCTCGTCTAATATGGGCAGCTACTAATGAAGCCAGCCGGGGCTTCAGCTGTCTTCCTTGGAAGCGTCCTCGAACGCGGAGCTCTAGCTTCGGTGGTGTCTCAAATGCTAAAGCCCAGTGCGTGTACGGAGTCCGTCGGAACATCAAGCGTACATTACCACTAATGCTTTCCACTGAAAATTTTTAATAAGCTTTAATAGAAAAATATCATACACTTCAAACATGGTTAACCTTAATCTCCAATATGAAACTAGCACATAAGTATTATCTGGGTTATGTCCTAAATACATATTATTAAAATCACAATGTTCAGTATAAATTTAATAAAAGCTTTATATGAACGTGAGATTATTTATTTAATGGAATTATTTTAGGCCCTTATTACAATTTACCACATTTTGTCAGTCGATCACTAATGTAGGAAGAATCTTATGCCTATGTATCCTTATTCTCTAAGAACTCGACTTATTTTCTTAAACTCATCTACTGGAAAGTTGGAATAATTAACAGGATTTATAAAACATTATAAAAATAATAAGCCTGGCGATCCATCAGCTGAGTGTGACAAATCAAATCCTTCCATTTTTTGTAGAATAAGTCACACCGTCTACCTGATGGTAAGCGGACGCTGTGACCCATAGACATCTTTATCTATCCTCTATAAATAATCTAATCAAAAGCGTTGTCACTCCTGAGGACTAACATGGAGTGCCTCATTTTCAGTAAAAAGGATTTCCGGTTTTCTACACTCACCATACGAAACATAGAAGCATTAAGATGCTATGCTATTTTACGTTGGTATACCGTGAGAGCCTGGTCCTTCCCTGGCGGAGTCAACCCATTAACCCAGCTAAAGAGTTGCTCTACAACGTCTTTGATAATATTAATGAATAAGGAGATGATATAACTATCTCTTTTACACCATACGTAAAATACTTATACTAAATACTAAATGAGCAGCGTCAACGGTGCGAGACGTCTGGTACTTCCGATCGCCAATCCATCTGCCATGCGTGACAATTAAGCCATACCCTACCTACAACGAGAGAGGCCCACGTTCACGACTTTTACCACAGAAATCGTAATAATAAGACCATAGAAGTTGCATAGCAGACGCGTGACCTTGTCGCCGCTATGATGTGTTGACGAATATCATTCACCTTTTTGTGAATTAATTGCGCGGGGAACGTCGTACGTGAATTTATGTTATGATAAATTTATAATGGGAAATGCAGCATAATCAGTTGTAAAACTCATCAAGGACATGCAATTCAACTAATAAAGGCATAACATTTCATCGGTAAGTTGATTATTTACTAATTATCATTGTTTTAACTAATTTATATCTAGATGAATACTTTACTATGATATTTACCATTGTAAACATTCATTTATTACTTTTCGTATTGTACAATTACCATTGCTGCTTTTGTTCCACGTTGGCAAACTCGCCAAGCATTGTAATGTAACACATTAGATACCATTGTGCATTGTGCGTATGTTTATAATACGGTAAGATTAGCATCATAGGTTTTGGAAGTAATGGAGCGCTAATTCATTTCTATTGTCTTATTATTACTATTTCTGTGACTTTTACGGACTCACGAAGAAGAAAGTAAGAAATTCTAATCACCTTCCCGTCCTGATTAAGTTTTACCTATTAACGTTATCGTGACACACTTAAAAAGTCTACTGCTGAACATAGGCCTCCCCCTAGATTGCCCCATAAGGTAGATAATTGCCATAGTTATCACGTTTGGCAAGCGGTCCCGAAACAGTATTTTTTTTTTGATTAAAGTGAAACTTCTTTACACAGGCTTGACTTGGGGAGTAAGCTGGCGAATGCGTAACGAAAGCGTTACGAAAAATGTGATCGGGCGAGGCAAACGGGAGTTGAGTGGGGGATATAAGCAAGAGAGGGCAGTGCACGCGCATATTTTCTTTCTCTCATTGCGTATACGTAATAATTTTATGAGTTAATATATTGTTCAATACATTAACATCAATATAACAAATCAGAAGGGAAAAAATTCGTTATATCAAGTAATTCGTTGAACTGAGGTTCGTTATGTTGAGGTTAGGTTGGTCTAAAATTTGTTATAAAGAGGTAAAAAATAGTTTTATTCACAACTTCTACTAATAAACTTTATATAAAAGTTTTGAGTTGACAAAATTCGTTAATTAGAGGTATTTACACTTTCTTGATAGGAAAATAAAGAGGTTGTTCGCAATAAACGTTCGCAATGTAAAGGTATATTTTATATTGAATCTTATGGACAATTCAAGGGGAACACGAAAAATTTGTTAAATCAAGGTAGTCGTTATATTGAGGTACGTTATATTAAGGTTGCACTGTATATTACATACAGATGGAGCTAAAGAAGTTTTACTTCAGTCGTGTGGTCATAAGCACACTCGTTTTCCACCCACGGGACGATATAGGGTGATATTCTCGTACCGCTACTGCACGGTTAACGCCGTTACGAGGTCGGTTTTATCTAGCATTTATAATAATTACCTGTAATTGATATGTTAGCGATTTTTCCTAATAACATAACGGCATCCACGTCGATTCTGAAGTTGCCATCATACGTTAAATTGAATCTAATGTCAAGGGAGCGCAGGCGGGCGCCATCTTCCTCAAGCTCCCCGCTCAATAACTGCAGATTCGCTAAACTGGGAAACTCTGTGCCCACTTCTAGTGAACGAAGCTGAAAAAGGTTTAAAACTAATTATTTGACACGAAAAAAATATACAATCATTGCTACGTCTTTGTGTATATTGGCGGTCAATAAAATAGGCCATGCAATTGCAGCGTGAGGGGCGAAAAGTGTCAGAGCCCTTTCAAGGGCTTTTTTTATTAATTAATTAGTGATGAATCAGTGATTCATCACTAATTAATCTGAACTCATAGCCACCATAAGTTACAATTCAGGGCTATATCACTACTTACCATGAGATATGATAGAAGTCAAGTGTTAGGAATATAGTAAATAACAACGGAATAAGATACTTATCTTATTCCGTAGTTATTTACCATATTCCTTAACCATTTATATTGAATAAAACCAATTAAACGCGATAAAATCCGTATAAATGGTTTTTTATTCAATGTGTAGTGTTCGCGTAAATTTAATAAATCATTATGATAAGTATATTTTGTATTTAAATTTTCTTTCATAGTTTAAAATTTACGGATTTAGGACTGTCAACTATTAAAAATAAATAAGTAGGTATTTAAAATAAAACTTATATTTTCTATAATTTTATATCATATTAGCGATCCGCTCCGACTTTGCACGGGTGATTTCTGGAGCTCGCACCACCTACCGGATCCAATTGACTAAACCATCCAGGAACCCATTCACACGCACAAAAAAATATCATTAAAACCATTCGTGCTGTTTTCGAGATTTAGAGAGACTAATTGACAGCAATTGATTTTTATGTATATAGATTTTAACTAAGTATTATAGACATACATAATTAAGTGTTAGAAAACCAAGTGGTATTGATGTCTTTGCATCTGACAGCTCGGACGATTAGGCTATTTTATATAGTATTGTGTACATCTCTGATAGAAATTAGGAATTAGCTCTGTCATTCATTTCTACTTTTTAATTTTACTTACCGTCAAGGATTCAAAGATCTTCCCAGAAGAGGTCTTCGCAAGCAGTTCTGCTAGCTCATTAGCCATTCGGCGTCGCAGCCAGCGTGTGTCAGCCGTACTTTGCTGGAATATGAACTGCAGCATTGCGTTTAAGACACCTTCAGGCGTGCTGCCAGCGCCTCTTGTCAATTCGTTAAGTATCTCCTAAAAGTATTATCATTAAAAATGAATCCGGACTAGATTAACAAAATGAAAATAAAGTAACAGCTATATGTTTTGGAGCGTGAAAGCTTCGACCCAATGCGTTGGTGAACTTCACATGTTCTCGATATTTTTTTTTTATAAAATTGTTATATCTTAGACATGCAGGTTTTCTTATATTGTTGCAGCCGAAGATAGTTTGTATGTATAGCTCGTACGCTGTATTTTATTAAAAAGGCAAGAAATATATCTCGTTTGCTGTACATAATGCGAATGACGAAGCAAATCCTTTTGTTCGAATGCTATATTAAACATTTTGTCATCAACAAAGGAGTAGAGACCCGTCAAAAGTCTGGTCATCTGATGGTTGAAAATAGAGGCAGAGTCGAAAAGAAAGTCGTACAATTCCTGCGCATTCCAGTTGCAAAGTTTTTAAAAAAATATTTACAGCTGTCGCGTTTACGATATCTTCTGGTAACATGTTCCAGTTGTGAACTACTCTGCTACCAAGGAAATGGGTACTAAAGGAGAAATTAATCTGTTTTTTTGCAGCAATCATTTCAAACGAACAGTAAAAGCCTCGAGCCTGATCACCCGACACGCTCGGTCAGTATATTCGCGCCCTAAAGTGATCGCTTTGTCCGCGCTTTACGCCGTCGCCTTGACACTGTTTCCTGTGGGATTACCTACCCTGCGCATGTGTGTTACTTTTCAACTAGTGATGACATTATTGATATTATGATAGATATTATCCTTAAAGTAGAGAGAAATAATGTAACGTGTAGTAGGTAACAAGTTAAGAATATCCACTCCTACCTATATCATCCCGTGGGTGTCGTAAGACAGAGGGAAACTGACACAAGAAATGAGCAGCAGCATCATTCTGATAACAAGTCAGAATATTGAAAAAATCTGCGGATGTTATTACGCCTGCCACGCGTGGCAACTATGGCAAAATGTGCCCCTAAGCGCTAATCTATGGGGGGGGGGGAGGCTATGTCCCGCAGTGGACCTTTATAGGCACTAATAGATGTATGGATTTAAAACTTAGACACATTTATCAAAAATGATTAAAACCCGAATTATAGTACATTTATGAACATTTTATACACTTGTTAATTAACCTCGTAATAAAGTAATTGCATAATTATATTATCGTTTGTCGTAAATTTGCCGTTTACCTTGGGTTAAATTATACAGAAATTTGAACACTCTTTATTTCTTCATTCGCGTATTGTTTCCGGAAGGCCTTACATTTCGCTAATAGCTTCTTTTTAACCCAAATAATTAAATTAATTTAGCAAAAATGTATTCTTAACATTTATAATATAAAATAAATAACAAATAATCGCGTAAGTAGAATTATTCAAACCTAATAATTTTAGCCAATTATACACCTACACATAATATTTGATCTGTTTGATGATTTTAATGACATCATGTTTTTTCTGAGATTTCTGAACGGTCCTTTTCATGATAAAAATGGTTATTTTCCTCAGCAAATTTTGGAGACACGAACGGAGAAACAACGGTTTTAAAGTTGTTGTTTTTTCCGTGAAATTGTAAATTAAACTTTATGGCTGTGATGAACCTTGTATAGCTAGATGGCTTGCAGGATGTCAAAGACTGCAGACGACATCTGCTCGGGAGTGAATGGAGGGGGTACTTGATGACGATGATGAAGCTTGAAGTTGAAGTTTCCGAAGGTTGCATTGTTGCGTGTTCAAATCACGTCGGTTACTCACCAGTTTAGCGGTGGAAGTAAAAGCGGAGATTTTTCTCCGGGCAAGGTGTTCTGTACGCGGAGCGGCCAACAAGCCATATTACACAGAAACTAATGATTTATCCACTTACAATTAAGCTAATCGAATTTATATTTTTTTAAAGAATATTAACAATGCTATAAACATTACTAATATTCCCCTTAACCACTCGTGGTAAGCTTAAATTGCTTGTATTACGAGTGGTTCACGCCAGTAGTCGAATGGTGGATTCGAACCCACGACCTTTTTAAGTTCGCGGTCCGCGCCCTGCCATTAGGCTACTGTCGCTTCAACGACGCACATATATGAATTTATAATATTGAATTAATTAATATTAAAAGAGGAAAGACCACTGTTGACATTAAACCCTTAGAAACAGCTTGACAAGAATCTACAGAGAATCTAGAAAGCCCTACAATATCGACTATTACGATTTAAATAATCAAATAATTTAATAGCTTCTAAAGTCGAATCCTAACAACGTGTAAAGCACAAATTGCCAATCGTTGATTCAATTTTTACACAGCTAAATCAAATACAAACTAACAGTAAATATTAATATGGATATTATGTCGCAATTGCGAGGGACGTCATGGGTTAAAAGTAATCAAATAAAATTTTCGCGATAGAAAAAAATTCACAAAGTTACTTCTTATTTTCATCATGAACCGATTTGTTTTGATCGGGGTACATAATATTATCAAGCAAAAAATGTTGTAGATGACATCTTTTATATTATATCTAGTGCTGTCATTACCGATTGTTAAAAATTAATTGCATTTTTCGATAATTTATTGAATAAAGTGCATTTGGCGCTTACTACGAGGTAGGTATATCTTTATTCCATGCAATAAATTCTCGTCAGTCTCACGTCACGGGAGGCTTTAGGTATGTTTTGTTCACGTATCCATCGCTGTCTTAAGCGGGCTACATACGACACGATATCGGTGGCGATCTAGGGTGGAGTAGTGGGGATGCCTCCTAGATTGCCTCTAAATCGTGTCGTATGTAGGGCCATCCTAAGTCGTGGCCGATATCGCCTCCTTAATCGGCTGGCAGGAGCAAAAATGCTTCCTAGATCAGCCGATGCTTCCTAGATCGGGGCGCCGCCCCCTCCTTACTGCGTGTGTGTAGGCGCATCGGCCCGATTTCTTTTGGCAGTCGCTGCCGGCAACCCTCGCGGAAGGAAGTTAACAAAACAGTGATACTGAATGACCTTTTTTATATAACAAATTTTTTTACATTTTAATCATATAAACGGAGTAGAAGCCCATGGCACTGATATTTTACAAAAAACCAAAAAAAAGTGAATAAAATAAATAAATTAATTGAAATTTTATCGAAATTCAAATCATATCCACCCTAGCCTGTGACCCTGCGAAGTGACATGGTCAAGAATGCCTACTAAACTAATTTTTTTATTGCCGTTCGTAAAGTAGAGTGTATGATGTAAGTAAGGAGAAGATAAAGCCTCTCCTCAACAACTAACTCCTATTCCAACGCTATCAACACAAGACCGCACTCATATCTCTTACAACTCCACAAGACCACACTTCGATCTCTTACGTGCCTTCATCCTCTTATCAACAACTAACTTCTACTCCTTCACCATCTCCACATCAACAAACAAGTTATATAAAAGGGAGTATGTCCGAAATTAAAGGTTTCTTTATGTTTAAAAAAAGATATAAGCTATTTTATTTTCTGATAGTTTTACTCCATAAATAAAGATTACATTAAAAAAAAGTATACATATTATTATAGAAAAGTATTTTATTTCCTTGTTTGTTGTGTGTAATACATAACCAGATTTTGACCAAAGCAGAAATGAACAAAGAGAAGAAATAACTAAATAGCATAGGTAGGAGAAATTGACGTTTTTATATAAGTGGCGAAATCATTTCTAGATGGTTATAAAAACTGTCTTCATCCATCCGGAGAAAATTAATCACGTCCTTGGATTACAGGCCATTTAGTACGTTTATGTGGCTTAATTTTTATCTCTTTTGGAGCCATTTTTTCACCCAGCAACTTCTCTTTTTCTATTTTCGAATAAATTAACCGAGATGGCTAATGCCAAACCAACACGGTGGTGTTTTAAGAGAGTCGGAGGTATTTTGAAGAACTCTACCGCATATGCATTCCGCTCCAAGTCCGAACGCGTACTGCTAGGCAGGCCCGTGTGTAAGGTCTACCCCGATAAAAGCCCCGATTTCTTTCCACCCTAGATCGCTACCGATGTCGTGTCGTATGTAGCCCGCTTTATATAGTTATAATATCTGTGTCAGTCGCAATCGCAATGAGCAATGACACAGACCAGATGGAGAAACTAACGTTTGGCAACACTGTTTCTGTGCACCGCGCCCGCGTCAAAAAAAGATCATGTTATACACGTTGTACATAAATAGGTCGATAGGAATAAGAAGAACAACAAAGCGCAATAAGGAAATTGTCGTATTTATGTATTTTTCTTAGAGTAGACTCGCCTGGAAATATCGATACCTACTACATAGAGATAGTATTAGGTATATTTCTTGCTTACTACTAAACTCAAGCGCTATCGTCAACAGAGCGTAAACAATGCTAAACAGTGTTTCGTCTGTTGTTTGTCGGTAAATTACTAATGTTATTCGCAATTACTTATATTTAGGCTGTGGCGGATTTACACATTTGCCGCCAGTATGCTATCTAAATTTTGCCGCCCTTACCGACTTTTGCAATTCGATACCCCCCTAGTTCACGATCATATTAATTGCAATTTTATTTGTCAATGAAATTGTAAGTTTATGATTTGCGGACTATCCTCACACCTTTTTGCCGTAATTATGATTGTGAACTAGGTAATCGATGAGTCAGTTCCTAGATTATTTTTACAACTCAAAGATTTAGTTAACATTGCACGAAAAAATATTTTCTGGGTAGGTATGTTTCCGAGCTAATAAAAGCTCAATCATGTATTACTAATACGGCGGGGTAAGTTATGGTTTAATACTACTTACTTAATTAATAAAAAATATGCGCTTACAGTTTAAAAACAATGTATTTAATTATCTAATAACAATCTGGCTGCTGCTGATGATGAAATTCAATAATTTTAGTTATGAAAGTTTTGCAACTCATTTTTGAGGCAATTATTTATTCGAAAAATCATCACTTGGATCATCAATTACATCATTGTATGAAATCTTGTTCATTAGCTGACTCTATGTACAAGAGCGCTAAGAGGCATGGCTTTATTTG